CGGAAGACCCAGAAGACGCCCTAAATCCGCCCCTGATAAAAGAAGGCCAAACTGATTAAAAGGCCATTGCAATAGCCACCTCTGAAACAGGTGCCTTAACTGACACAATAGACAAGATCAAAGGTAGTATCTCAGTTCTAAGAGTGCTTTCAGAACACATGATATGCGGACTAACTGATCCACTGACTAAATATGGCTGACCCCACCTAAAACCAGTGCTGCTTAATCTCCTGATGGTCTTCCTGCCTCCACAGGCACCATTAAATGGATTAAATCTCGGCTGCAAGGTTTAAATGCTAGGCCCTTGCAGCAACGGCGAGGGTAGAGGCAGGGAGACCAGCAGGTAATTTGTTGATGCTGCTTTTAAGTGAGTTGGCCATATTTAGTCTGCGGATCTGTTAGGGTGCTTTCCCAGAGATTTAGATCGATCTAGAGATTAAGATTTAGATCGACCTTACTCCCTGGGGGTTCACGCTAAATTGCAGTCAGCCGAGCGGGCACCATAGTTAATTACCCCCTTACAGCTTTTAGTAGGCGGGACAGACGCTTAAGGCGGCCAAGCTGACAGTAATCTAGTGAGACTCCCCACAGGGATAGATCGATCTAAAAATCTATGGAAATGGGGTCTTAGTGTACGTATCAACTTGTTCAGAATGCTCTCTAAGGCAAAAAGAAATAAATATTTCAGATTAGCTCTCCCTGTATCTCTCCTAAGTGTGCTGTACTAACATAGCCACATTTATTTTCGATATCATGAGATGTTTTTAATTGACTTTCACATTGTAGATAGCTTTTAAACTGAGAGTGTCTGGTAACCCTGGGCGCAATATTCCATCCCAAGAGATGGTAGTTATAAGGTTGACAGGGCAAACCAATGTGACCATCAAGGACATTACACGGTGGTAAATTACTTGTAAAATGCAGATATTGCTGTACTTGTAAAACATTCAGTCATGGCAAGGTCTGTGTTCTTTAGCTCAGAAACACTAGTACAAACATACATCCGTGAATAAATAAATGAACATATAAAACAGAAAAATAAGTGGAAAGATATTTTGTGACAACTACTATATATACCATGAATATGTCCATGTACTAGTAGATAATATCAAAGGAATCAATCTAATGGACAAACTGAAGGATCTGTCCAATGTGTGAATCAAGAAAGGAAACAACCTTGTTTGAAAATGGTACATGAGAAGTAAAACCAGGATGCTGATCTGCCTTTTTCTCTTTTTTTTTTCTCATTTGATAAGCTTAGCAAGGAATGATGAGTCTGATTTTATGCTTAAATAAATCTACTAGTAAGGCCAGTTTGGTGAGTGGGTCCATCAGTCACCCTGAGTGTCAGAAGATCAAAGCACACCTTAATCATCAGCTCACTTACCCCTGCAATATCCAGTAACACCCCAAGTTACTGGACAACCCATCTCCCAGGGGTTTCTCCCTAAATTGCTTTCAGTTTAAATAGTTCTGATGTCGGCATGCCTACCAAAGCTGTTATGGGGTATTTAACTAGTATTGTTTAGCAGCTTCAGTAGGCGTGCCAGACATTTAAACCACTTAATTAAGCCAAAAGCAATTTGGCAAGAAACCCTTTGGAGATGGGTCGATCCTGTTAGATTGATCTAGGTATGGGAATAGGGTCTAAATTCTTGCCTGTTCTTTTTCAGTAACTGTATATGACAGAGACAGGCTGGTAGTGAAGGTTCTCAGTGTTCTCTGCAACTCAGGGTGATAAAATTAATTCACCTTTACAGGAATATGAGGGTATTGACCTGTAGGCAAATGCTTGAACCCAAGCACATTAAAGAGGCTGTCATCTGTAATCATCCATACACAGCTCCAGTAGCCTTTATAGATAATTACTAGTACATGTAGTGAAGACGTGATATGAATTTTTACTATCTCTCTCTCTCTCTCTCTCTTTCTCGCTCCATAGACTTTAAGCATTACAATTTTGCGCCCTGAGGAAGCTTTTCAAGATTCTTATTGATAGGACATAGTGATACCATCCAAAAACAATGATATTACAGATTATCTGCATTTAGTTCTCAAGCTTTCAGTTTCACTTCTAGTTAGAATCCTATAAAGGTATCCTATCAAGGATTTTGTTCACATAATTTGACAGCAAGCTGTGACATCTACTCATGCATCTGAATATTATATTTAAGTTAAAATATTTACCACCTGGAGAAAGCATAAAGGCACAGATACAACTCTTAAAGTTGTACAAACCTACAGTCCAAATTCACTGACTGATTTAATGAATTTGTCCTACTTCCTGTTTTCTTTCCAGGATTCCTAAATTGAAGCACAAGTTTAGGTGACTCATGATCACTTACTAGTACATAATAATCAGACTAATAAGCTGTCAGTCTCTCACATACCAGTACATGTATGTGGCATTAAGAAATTTTTAAGATAAAATCATGTGAAAAGTCAGGCAGTCCCAATTACTGACCCCAGATAAGCAGTAATTCAAACATGGCATTTTCACACATATATCATCTTAAATTGATAATAAATATACATAATATGGCATCATTCTTGACATACTCAAATACAGTCTGATGTCACATCAGTGTGCCATATAAAATATCTTATCATCACAACTGGGAAATAAAACACTGTGGCCTGCTATTAATTAATAATCAATATCTCAATAGGAGGCTGTGTTATGTAAGGTATATGTACTAGTAGAGGCCTAACCTTAATTACATTACAGATGTAGCTTGGATTGCACTGAGTTATTTATTTCAATCAGATCTGCAATTCTAATGAAGAACCAATTACTAGTATGCTGACTATGGGGTCATCCATTTCATTATAATTTTCGCAAGTCTACAAACTGTAAACTGGGGGGAGGGGATTAATGTCCTCTCTTCATCTTTGGGGGAAAATAATGAAAATGATGATATCCAAATTGCTGTCAAAGGTTTTCATTTTTGGCTTTTCA